GGACTGGACCATGTGGTCTTTCGGTCACGTGACAGCTTCTGAATCTTGAGACTGGACTTGATCACAAACAAATCAAGGTAAGTATCCAATCTAGAATTTTTGTCTAGAGAGGCGAGAACATTGAACCAGGCTCTAGCAGACTGCCGAAAAAACTTTTTTTTTTGCCTGATTTAGACGACACGTGAGACGCCCTAAATGGGTCAATACGATGGCAAATAAGAAACAGCAAAAGCTTTTTTCCGACAAGCCTATCTCATGTTCTGTCATATCGGCCCCCGCAGCTCAAATGTCCGCTGCGCGTAGCTTCCGACCGGTTCTTCCAATTCCAATGTTCTATTTGTTCTTTTCTATGTCGCGGCGCCACCATGCACACGGAATCTTGTTTGTATTTTTGCCTCCAAGTCCCCGGTTCCGCTTAGTCTCTTTTACAGCCCCATCGTCGTACCGCTACTCGCACTGGCATGAACACTAAGTAGTTTCTATCTCGTCATTGACAAGCACCTGGAACTCATTTTGAGCTGCGGCTTAAGCGTCTACCCATAAACGTGACCAAAACTTCACCAGACTCTGGCAGCCGCCACTAAACTTACTTTAGTTCGCCAGTAACATTTTACCTTATCGGAAGCCTGCCATATCAGATATCACCGCTTCCAGTGCTAATTATATCCCACAGCCAGCAACGGCAAAGGCACATATCCCGGAAGTGCCTTACAAGCACCTTCTTTTTGACCCTTGAATGAATGTGCTTGTAAGGCACTTCTGGGAGAGTGTCTTGGTCGTCGCTGGCTGTGGGATTTGGTGCGCGAAATCTTCCAAGATTCTGGTAAACTTCGAACATGCCGTCAGCTGACCCTTGGATCCCGGTGCAGCTGCCTTGCCGGTTTGTATGTTGATATGCAGATCACTCGGCAGAGGACTGCGTGAGTGATATCTTCTCGATAGGACCATGCTTTTTTGATCACGGGGGCTCCGGAGCGAACGCGGAAAGTCAGACCATTCTAGAAGCGCAACTACGTATTGTTTAAAGGTCTGGGGCCGCAATACGCCCCATTTCCCTGTCCTTCCTGACCACGTCCACCCAACAATGTCCGAAGAGAACGAGAAGCCACAGATTGCCATGGAGGAGCACAAAGCAGGGAGCGATACCTCTCCCGACAACCCTCTGCCAGAAATAGGCTCTCCTGAGCGCATACGCATGGAGAAGAAACTTGTCCGCAAACTGGACAGTAGGCTGCTTCCTACAATATTTCTTATTTATATCATGAACTACATCGACGTGCGTGTCCATCTCTACGTATCACAGGATTTCTAATAGTATACTTTAGAGAAATGGAATTACTACCGCTCGGCTGAAAGGTCTGGAGGAGGACCTGGGATTATCAGGTAAGGCGCCGAAAAAGATCTCATTCGCTTTTCTCAAATGGGCTAGATCTTCAATACAGCGTCGTTCTCTCCATCCTCTTCGTCTCTTATTGCCCTTTCCAAATCCCGTCGAACATGGTACGCATTTCTTCTGTTGCCCAAACCAACGCTGATGCCCATTTTCAGATCTTGAACTACGTCACAAGGCTCGCCTTTAATTTCTCTCTACTCGTCCACATCTGAACCTGCACTTCAGGCCATCGTGGTACATCGGCTTCTGTGTCATGGGTTGGGGCCTTACGAGTTTACTCACTGGTGTAAGACGTCCAGGGAACACTGGACTTGGAAGGGTTTTACTTACGAAATCGCAGGTCACGAAGAACTACGGTGGAATTTTGGCGTGTCGGGTGTTCATTGGCTTGCCTGAGGTATGTTCAAGAGCTCATCACAAACACTTGTGTTGATGAGGTGCCTGTCAGGCTGCATTCTACCCCGGAGGCAAGCATGGGCGTCTCGATGCTAGAACAAAGAATGTTGACAATCATTGCAGCGATTTACCTGCTATCGCGCTGGTACACCAAGAAAGTGAGGGAGGCGATTTTCCCAATGATGCCTTTGGAGCTGATTCGTGGCGGCGGTCTCAGGAATTGGCTTTCCGTTCTGCAGTGTTGTACACCGGCCTCCTCCTGTCGAACGCATTTGGCGCAGTAAGGCCCCATGCACCTGCGATTGTCATTCGGAGCTGACGTCTTGCAGCTCATGGCTGCTGGAATACTGGGAAGGATGGAGGGAGTTCGGGGAATTCGTGCTTGGCGATGGTGATATCTTTTTGTCACGTTTCTCGACCAGAATCTTAATATATATTTAACAGGCTGTTTTACATCGAGGTGAGTATTACATGGTGTGATCAATGAGCCGTCTATCTGAACTTGCGCAGGGTTCTATTACGATTACAGTCGGAATCCTCACCTTGTTCGTGACTTCTTTCTACGTATCACTAATTACTCAAGCCTTGTAGATGGGCCCTGCCGGACTATGTCTGAGTTGTTCGCATTTCACATCTCGTGTAACTGACAGATCCTTTCGCCTGCAGCCGACCAACACACGGTGGATCGTTGGAGATGAACGCCGTCTCGCCCAGGCCCGTCTCGCTGATGATGCCGGCGAAGCTGACCAGGATAACGACAACGACACGTGCGATTTACCTGCATCCTCTCCTTTCTCTTTAATTGACTCTTGTCAAGCCCTTTCGCAGGCTTGAAGATGGCGGTCAAGGATCCGTTGGTGATGACTTTCGCATTCATGAACGCCGCGCAGCTTCTCGGGTTGAGCTTCATCAACTTCTGTAAGGGACAATCTTTTGGATTTGGCACCGTCGAGACTGAAATATTGTCCCCATTCAGTCCCAACGTTAACCTCTTTTCTCTTCTCATCAAGACTATTTCGGGTTTGACTGTTTTCTTATAGCCTTACTTCCACACTCGGCTTCAACACAACCATCAGTCTGCTGCTTGCTGCGTACGTATCCAAACTTACAATAATCGTTCCAAATTCTCATGTATTGTATGAAGACCTCCATGGCTCATCGCTTCAATCGTGACCTTGTACACTGCTTGGCATGCAGGTCAGGATCATGTGGCTGGTTCCACGCCGTTATGTTACAGATTATTCTCCCATCAGATAAAACGGGAGAGCGATTTTTCCACGTCGCGGGCCCGTGGTGGGGAGTTATGCTCGGATTCATTATCAGTCTCTGCACCGGCAATACGGGCGCGCGATACTTCTCTATGTTCCTCATGGCATGCGGTTACGCAGGCATGCCTCCCATCATTTATAAACGAGAGAAGAAGCTAAACATCAACATCTCGCTGCGTTAGGATTTTCCATGACTCTCGTATGGGTGTCCAATGTGATTCCTCGACCACCATCGTATGCTTTCCCTCCCTTGATGATTTTATACTCGAATTTTCTAACCACTCGAACAGGAAACGCGCAGCTGCGATTGGCCTCGTCAACGGTATTGGAAATCTCGGCAATCTGTACGCATCGGAGCATGATCAACGATAATTTCAACCCTCACCTTCTATAAGGATGGGTTCGTACACCTGGAAAGCCGAGTGGGGCCCGGACTACCACCAGTCCATGATCATCTCTCTATGCGCACTCGCCCTCAGCACGGTCATGTCGATCGGTACGTGTAACGCTATGTCCCTCCAATGGCGTCTCCATTGAACCCGCGGCCCAGGAATCCGCCACTACCTCGTGCGTCTAAATAAAAAGCTGGATGCAGACGAGCGCGCGGCGCTGCAGGGTGCGGATGAACTTCGCGTCAAGGAAGCTGCGATTCTCGAAGGGATCACATTTGACCAGGCGATGGAGAGACGCAAAGGGTTCCGCTACCTGCCCTGATCCGTTGGATTTGTACTATTTCAAGTTGTTTTGAACTTTATGCCACCGATGTGACGACTCGCAAACTGCTGCCTCTTTTCGGTGTTTCGTCTGCGTGATCTGCGTGTCTCGTCTGCGTGATCTGCGTGCTGCTAGCGTGCGATTGGTTCGGATGCCACTCCAATCACCACAATGTGGTGGATGTCCGCGTGTTGTGATGAGATAGGTGGAACACAAGCTCTGCTACTGTACGTATCCGGACCACGTGACCCCTGTACCCACTACCACAACATTATGAGGCATAAGGCTCCGTATATAAACCGTTTTAAACGGTTAAAACCGTTTTTATTTAGGTTTAGTTTAGAGAGGTCAGTAAACGGTAAACATACATAACGGTTTAAACGGTTCAATTTTCGCTTGATTTACCGCGCGTCGGCACGAGTTACAGCACCTTGCGGAACTTAGGGTGCGGCCATTTTTTCTTTTTTTTTGTGTCGTTTTCAATAATTTGATAATTGTGAGCTCAAATCTTAGCCGATTCCTTTAAAAATAAAACCAATCAATTTGCACGGTGAATCCAGAGGGGACCTCGTGCCTGTATTTTTGATGGCATCACTTCATTTACTATATATGGAAATTTCGGCATTTTTATTTATAAGCACTGTAGCACCAGAGATACAACCGTGGGAAACATAGATTTTTGTTTTGAAACACTGGTGACCATTCCTGAGGGGATCTCGAGGCCGGAATTCATATTTAATCCCTCTACTGAATCAAACAGGATATTTAAACTCATCATATAATTGAGGTGGATTGTTTATGTCATGGGGTGATCACAAACAAATTTTGGCCTCGAGATCCCCTCAGGAATGGTCATCAGTGTTTTAAAACAAAAATCTATGTTTCCCACGGTTGTATCTCTGGTGCTACAGTGCTTATAAATAAAAATGCCGAAATTTCCATATATAGTAAATGAAGTGATGCCATCAAAAATACAGGCACAAGGTCCCCTCCAGATTCACCGTGCAAATTGATTGGTTTTATTTTTAAAGGAATTGGCTAAGATTTGAGCTCACAATTATCAAATTATTGAAAACGACACAAAAAAAGAAAAAATGGCCGTGCCCTAAGTTCCGCAAGGTGCTGTAATTCTCCTGAACCACCTGATTACGAGCTGACCATTTGTCTTGCTCTTCGGCAATGGCAAGATCGATAACCACCACTGCAACTATAAATGAAAGAAAAAGAAATAGCAGCAACTCGTTTCGATCGAGTGACCTCGGGGTGCCGACAACGAATATGAGTATATGGGCCCCGCGCGCTTCCATCTGCGCCATGCTGCTCCCAGCAACTGATATCACCCCACGAATATGCAGGACGGAGTGCCGACGGCGTGCGGCACCTCTGCCGGGGAAACCAACGCGACCATCGTTCATGCACCGTGAATGCAAGACAGCCCAGTGCCGGTAGGGCGTCACGGAATTTAACTCGAGTTGAGAAACTCAACATGTTTAGCTTCGTTCTCCGAGTCCTCAAGGCTCTAATTTTTGCAAAGCCAGTACTGCAGTGCATTAAATTCATCGAACACAAAAGGTACCACGCAAAAATGAGCGCCCCAGTTAGTATCCAGCCGCACAGCCCAGAACCTGGCTAAAGGTTCGAAATTGGAGTGGTAAGCGGATATGCCAGGCCCGGGTGCCCTGACGTCAGGACGGTGGTCCGAAGACACGTCGAGCCGCGTTATCGATACATCGACGGTATTAAATGAAGGAGGAACAAATTCAAAGTCTCTGTAATTTTTTTTTTTTCGAAATTCGAAAGCACACGCGCGCTGTAGAAACCAGCAGTCGCATTCTCACTAGGAGCTGAAATATGCGCTGAAGGCGGCGTGTCAGGTCGAACCACGATTCTTCGGTTGTTACGCCTCCTTCCGAGTCGGTGCATAAGAACAGCATCTGTTACTTCCCGCCGTTACTATATATACATTGTAGTGCTAAGCATACAAAACAGTCCTGCGGCCACCCGCAATGTTAATTGCTAAATTGTACAAGGCGCGCTAGTGCGCGCTAATTCCAGACTATAGATTCCATTTTGTTTTTAGCTTACTGTAATTTGTAGTCGCCGATTAAAGGCGATATTGTACGAGATTGATTATGCGCTGCGTGCTGGGAGCGAATCAGCGCGGGACGGGCCCGAGATGATCGTCCGCGGGGTCTGGGGCGACGCGAGCGTTTGAGAAGGCGAAGGCGAAGGCGAAACGGAGTAAGGAACGAAGGCGAGCGAGCAGTCGCCCGCCACTTGAAGAAAGGCGATATTGTACGAGATTATGCGCTGCTGCTTGCGGGGAGCGAATCAGCACGGGACGGGCCCGAGATGATCGTCCGCGGGGTCTGCGGCGGCCCGAGCGCGAGCGTTTGAGAGCTTGAAGGCGAAGGTGAAGGCGAAGGCGAGACGGGGTAAGGAACGAAGGCGAGCGAGGGGGGCGCGATCACGGTCGTGATGCGCAGGGAGGGGAATGTCACGGTGACGAACTCGGCCTTTGCCGATGACTCGGATGAGGGAAGCGGGGGGAGGTTCTTGTTCAGCGACTCGTCGCTCTGTTGAATGGTGAATTAGCGGCAAATAATTTGCCGTGGTTGATTGCACGCACAAAGTTTGAGCGGAAGGACATCGCGGACACCGACTTTGCGCGTTCCAGAGTCACGGTTCCGAGCGGGTGCGGATCGCCTTGGAGGTTGCTCCTGCTCGCTGTGCCGGACGCAGATGAAGCAGATGAAGAAGACCCAGAGAGGAAATTGACTAAGAGGGTCAAGGCGTACACCCGGCCTTGGCAGGAGAAAAAGAATTCGAAAGCTGGAAAAACAAAACAGAACAAGGTCAAGATTCATGACGATGTCGGGAAAACGAAAAGGGAGAACTTGCCGATGTCGCCCTTCAAGAGCAGGATCATCATGAGCAGGGTGGTGGACGCCACGATGGCTCCTGAAGCCAGACTGAGGAAGAAAACCCGGCGCAGGCTTCACAAGAGATCAACAGACGATAATGTGTAAAACGCAACAAACTCACCCGCTGGTGGATGACCTGACTTTCCAGAATTCATACCCCAAGCAGCCCGATATCATCAAGTCGTTGGCTGCACACAAAATTGCGCCGACTCTGCGAAGGATCGAGTTAGTGTTGGCAACGGCCAGCCGACAAATAATTCCTTACGCGCCGATCTTGAATGTCAGCGGTAGCAAAAAGGATGTTTGGACCAAGACCGCCGCAGCAAACGAGAAACAGAACTGAGGAATACCGTAAGTAGGATAGTTTTATTACGAGCAGAAGTTGATTTGGCTCACATGGACAAAGCCGAGAAAGACCAAAAATAGGCTGAACCACCGGTTCTTTGATCTAGTGGTGTATACTAAGCTTCGGGAACGGAATATCATTGACACTTGCCACAGCGCACTCACAGAAGAAAGTACAATTGGCACAAGAAAAGCTGCGTGATGCTGGCAGTGGAGTACGTCATCAAGATGCTGATGGTGGTCGGGATCGTCCACCCCCTGAACGACTCTTTCCCAAAGAACAACATGAAGGTGTTGACCACATTCGCGTTTACCGACGCGGTGCACAGGGTGTCGAATAGCAGAATGGCGCCAACCCCTATCTTGTGCGCCAGCGGACGGTTTGGGCGCCGGAAGTACTGGGTGCATAGAACGATTTCGAGCATGTAGAGCATCATGTTGACCCACGACGACACCAGCTCGACTCTAAAACACGGCAGCGGCATTCAAAATCCAGGAGACGAGCGAGAGAAGACAGCAGTCACAGCACGCACCCGTAGCTGATCAAGAATCCATTGAAATCGACTGGAGCCTCCATTCGGGTCCCGCCCAGTTCAAAGGCCAACAGTGAAGAAGGCGACTGACACAAGGAAAGGGAAGTGAGCGAAAGTGGGGCCGGTTTCGAGCGGCGGGGGTCATATATAAGTACTAGGCGATGTAAGCGAAGAACCGAGCTAGCATGGCAACAATTTGTAATTTTCATGTTCGCCGCGTATTCGTTGTGTCGCTTCGATCCGATGTGTCGGTGAGAAAGTTTCTCAGCCGCGGCGGACTTTTCTGATATTGATGTTGATCGCGCGATACCGCCAAACAATCCTTCCACCCTATTTGATCCTCAGGGACGCCGCTGGATGCCGCCGCATTTTCCCAGTAAGGCGCAGGACGGAAGCCACTAAGGTGCAGCGCTTTTTTAAACATCGACAGCGAAAAAAAATAAAAAATACATTGCTTCGAAGCCAAAATTAGCTGGGCGGGAAGTACTGGGTAGTGTTCTAGCCCGAGTCCGGTGGTCTCAGCTGTCTTGTGGCACGTTCTCCGAAGCTGATTTTCCTCGGCAGTTTTGACACGTGCGCTTCATTATGTTACCATGGTTATCAGTGAGATTTTTGGACTAGCGTATAATAATGTAAATAACCTTGCCAACGGGTTTGTCAACCTCATTTCTTCAACCAGCTTCGGCACTTTGGAGTCGGTCGCTGCAAGCACGCCGTTTTCTCACTGACAAGCAAAAAGGTTGACAGATTCACTGGCATTCAGCGCCTAGTAAGCTCAACCGGCATCATCTTTCACTCAGGTTCGGCGGGCTGACAGGTTGGCAACAGAAGGAAGTTACGATAGGTGGGAATTGAATTCAACTAGTCTCCTTGCAGAAATGTCAAAGAGAAATACGCGGAACGTAATACTTGAATATAAATGTTACACGGCTCTTACCACCCTCTTTTTATTCAAGGCATGGCACGAAGTGTTCTACTTACCGCCCGGTGAGGAACTGAAATGCCTTGGGCATATTGGAGTCTTGGCTTTCTCGAATGTCTTTCCCAAGACGTCAAGACGTGTGACTACGTGTGAAAACCAAGATATCCGGCCCAAGACGTAAGACGCTGCATCCAAGACCAAAGCCGCGCTCCGCAAGACGAAAAGAAAGACATAAGACACGTCTTTCGTCTTGCCGCCTAAGACATACTTATGCGTGCAAAGGGAAAAAGCAGCCAACACAGCAGCTGAATTGGGATCCCAGCCAGAGGCTCCCCCGAAGTCGAAGCGAAAACGGCCGGCTGACAACGAAGAAGATCAGCAGGGACCATCGAAGAAGCGCAAACCAGTGAGGCGGCAGGCCAGATATCGGAAGGAGAGTGATTCTGCTGACGAGAGCACGTGGCGCTGATTCTGGTACCCGCCGGAGAATGTCGAGACACGGGCTTAATTCACTTTTTGGGGGAAAGTTGGGCTAGGTACCTGGAAAGAGAAAAAATTAATTCCCAAAAAAGGGGAAAGGAGGGAGCGAGAAAATAGAGGTTTGTAACTTGTCCCCTCTACATATGCACCCATCTGAATGAAACTACACCGTTCAAAGAATTTTGGCGCGCCGCAGTTCCAACGACAAGTTTCAAAGCAAGCAGGTAAAATACTGTAGCATTTTAATCAATTCGTATGGCATTTTTGCTGTGACATTCGATACGAAATTTTCTATTCGTAGGATCTCATGCGGGTCTGTGACATACGAAAATTTTCGTATTTTACCCCCGGGCCGTAGCCGGTATTTTCAATTGCGGAGCAAATTGACGCCTTTGGGCGCGTCGTTAGCGTCCTCCGACACGTGTTTGACGTGCTTTCGACGCGTTCGTGCACGCGCAGACACCGCGGCAGACAATGCTTATTGCCCCGCAGGGCCGCTCCGAGCGAATTTTTTTTGCCCCGGCCGAAACCGTTCGCATAAATTTCGGGACTCCCGTGACATACGAAAATTTTTCGTATGAATCCGGCAGTGTGACGCGTGACATACGAATTGAATAAAATGCTACAGTAATACGTGAGAAATCGCCTTTTTCGGTCATATCATTCGCTTACTTACTGGAGCCGATACCGGTGATGCGAGATAGCTCGCCAAAAGTTGCACAGGGCTTCAGGAATGTGTTTGCACCACTTGAAAAAAATAGGGGTTTTTTTGGGGGGGTAGATATGGGTAGAAACAGGTCAGGAAATTACATTTTTACCCGGGGATACTAACATACACAGGCCGCCTAGACCATCTACCTCGATTCGGCTGGAACGGCCAGGTGGTGTGAATATGGATAACATTTATGCGTATACTGCTACCTACTGCTATGGTGCTACAGCACTTTCCTGGTCTACTGATGCATCTGTCTGGGTCTTAGGGCATTCTATCGCCCGCCTATAGGAGGATTCCTGCTTGTACAGGAGCCACCCATTTCATCAGATCAGACCGATTAAGAGTACGATGTGCTTGTGCAGATCACAGTTTGGACAAGCAGTCGTTGGGGGTAGAAAAGACG